TTCAGTTTTTTAATCGGTAAAATTTGAAGAAATTTTTAAAACCCTAATTTTTGTTAAGAAACCAATTCACCCCCCCTCTTGTTTTTTGTCCGGAAACGCAAACATTCCGCTGCGCGATTCTAACATTCTTTCTTTGCTGATGTATTTTTGGTACATGGTGGTGGGTATGGGTTGATGGCGACCTGGTATAGGTTATTGGTAGTGTCAAGAGTGGTTCTTGGGTGTTCAAGAAGCTCTTGGGGTAGATTGAGTTTGTCTACTAGTTTGTATTTGACATTGACTAATTGTTGTAGTGGAACTCAACTAGTTGTACTAAGACTTGGATGTAGCCCGGATGGATTAAGTGAACTAGTATAAAATTTGTGTTTTCTTTCTCTCTTTCTCTTACTTCTTGCATTTACTTTCTATTTCTTGTTTTACTCTTTAATCATTTCTTGAAAGATTTAATTCTATTTTTGGAGAATTGATAACGTGTTCAAGTTTTCAAGAAAAATATTTTAAAAGATCAATTCACCCCCTCTCTTGATCTTGATCATTGTTCTTAACCAGCTTCCCCTTGTTTTCTCATCAAAACCATGACCTTTCTCTTCTAGGAGGTCAAAGGTTGACCTTCTCTCCCTTCATGGGCCCACCATGCTCTAAATTTTGGGTCCAAGACTCATTTCCTCCAAAAAAAGATGGTGGACTTCAAAAGAGAGGTGTCTTTCAATAGTCTTACAAAAAAAAAAAAAAGATTAAACATAAGTCTGAAAAATTAAGGAGAAGGAAAAATGTTTAGTAAATTAAACGATAAGGGTGAGAAGGAGGCTTCCCTTGTAAAGTCATCCTTCTAATGATCCTCTTATGAATGATCTTCCCCATTTCAACTATTATTTTATTTAACAAATTTCCAAAAGGTCCCCCTCACAACCTTCTTATACTACACAATCAATTCCAAATTTTTATCTTTCTTGTCATATTTCAAATACAAATGATTATTTTTATTGCTCTCATAAATTCATTAGTTACCTTGGATAAATGATAGTTACAATGTTTTGTTCAAGTAGAGAATAGAGCAAAAGGGAACTTAGAAGCCTAATGGAAATAAACATCAACAAATTATATTGATTATTTAAGGAGATAAATATTTTGAAACAAAATAAAACACCCAAAATGATAAATAAGATGAGGCAAAAGCTAATATTGTTCCAAAAGTAAGATTATGAATCAAATTTACTAAAGTAAGTAATTGTGTAAGATATTTCGGATGTTACACCAATGTCAAACTTAAGTTAACTTCAAATCGATCAATGATAACCATAAGAAAATATATCAACCAATATTAAAAATTATGAAAAAAAAGGTAGAGACAATTCCCTTGTTTTTGCATTTTAACAAAACCATTACATAATGAAACGAAAACCTTAATCAAAGAAATTAATAATTTACCTAAGATTGCAAATCAAAGACAAAGCAAAAATAGAGCGAATATGATTCGAACACAAATCCATCGGTTCGTACCAGAAACACATTTTTATGTCAATAAGAGCTATTTCAATGAAAATAAAAATGCTAATCAAAGAAAGTAATAACGGTTGGGTAATCCAAGTGTAATTTTAAGTCCCACATTGTGTAAAAATGAAAATATTGAGCAACATATAAGGAAATATGTTTCCTCTTCGAAAGACTCAACAAGTGGTATCAGAGTCGAAGGTTGATCAACAGTTTAAAAGTCTTCCTAACCTAGGTTAAGTAAACGTATCCCGTTATAATGAACGATGGTACATAGAAGGGTTACTAATGTGCTCGAGGGAATGTACTAATGTGGAGGAATTCACACTTGAGTGAGAAGGGTTACTAATGTGCTCGAGGGAATGTACTAATGTGGAGGAATTCACACTTGAGTGAGAGATTGTTGGAAAATTCAAGTATGATTCTAAGTCCCACATTATGTAAGAATGAGAATGTTGAACAACATATACGGAAGTATGACCCATAATCTAACATCCTACATCCTAAGATTTTGGGTTGAGAATTATGTCAATCCCTTATGTGGGTTGGACTCATGTCCCATTGGTGTTTATTTCTCCCCTGTAAATCCCCTCTCGAAAGATCCAACATGTGGTATTAGAGTCGATTATGTGATGATCGATAGTTTGAGAGTGATCTTTGTATCGAAAGTTTTTCTAACAATAGGAACATGAAATGAAGATTGGGAATGGCCATGGGAGGGAGAGTGAAGCTTGGGTGAATTACCATGAGAGAAAACAAATACGTATTTGATGAGTGGGTTTTTGAAAATAACATTAAGAGAGGGAGAAAGAGTTTGGGAAATTAAGAAACATAGGAGAAATATTTACTTTAGATGAGTGTAAATAGTGATTTCTTAAAAAAATGTTTAAAATGACACTTTTTCCATTATATTATAATAGTTAAAAATTTGTCTTTTATAAATGTTATATTTAAAAATTGTAGTCTTAAATATGAAGTATTGCATTGCAAATAAGTCCATATTTCAAAAATTATCATACATCATATTTAAATTATATTTGAAGAGTTAGTATAATCTTAAGAGGTTAACTTTTGAGATAGATTGAAATAAATTATTAGTTATAAAAAGATATTTAAATAAAGTTTAAGAACTTTTATACAATAATTAACGACAATTAATCATCATCCTAAGATTTTATAATTTTTTTACTAAATTTTAAATAAAAGTTATAGAAAAATAAAATATATAAACTTGTAAGAAAATTATGAATACAATTGGTTTATATTAGTTCCCTTAAAATATATCTAATTCTTTTTTAATAAACTATTAAAAGCTTTTATTTAAATTTAAATTAATTACAATTAATTTTTATTTTTTTAATTCTATTTTATTGTGTCCCGTTATTATCAAATAATATATATGTAATATTATTTCAATATATATATATATATATATATATATATATAATAATAATAATAATAATAATAAATCTTAAATAATTTATCATTTTATATTATTTTTATTTCAATTTTTAGTTTTTTTCTAATATACTTTGAATTTTTTATTCGTTTCTTCCCTTCTAATTTTTTTTTCCAACTTTCTACACACCTTCATTTATCCTTCTTTTTCAATTTATTTTATTTCTTTTTCATCCCATTATTCTTCCCTAACTATTCTCTACCTTCTCCATATAGTTCAATGAAATAATAATTTTTATTTCTAAGAGATCGTTATTTGTTGAAACAACTCTGACATATCTCTAAAGAAATTATTAACAAAAATTATTTTAAAAAAGAGAGAGAATATTTTAGTTTATATGTCACTTAAAAATTGTTTAAAAATTAGTTAAAATTATTTATATGAATATTTTTTAAAATTTTAAATAACATTATCTAATTTAAAATTATTTATATATAAAATTTATAATAAAATATTTATTTTTACTCCTAAATAATTTAAGCTTAACCACTCTATTTAAAAATGTTTTTTTTTTTAATTTTGTCAGAAGAGTTGCTTGAAGCAACTCTAGACCTTCGTCAAAGCATCTTAAAGGATATACAAAAGTCCTGTTTGCAAGAAAAAATAACTTAACCCCATAGAACGGGAACCTATGTCATGTTTTATCGGGACAAAACTGCTACATGCACTCCATTTTTTTCATAAATGCAAATAAGGGCTGGGAAATAACCTGAAATAATATATAATACTATTCATAAACAACAATAAATATACCCTTCTTAAAAATGGAAAAGGGTCGTCTTAAAAACAAAAAAGTGCCTTCCTAAAAACGAAAAAAGATTTTGACCCCAAATTTTCTAACTTCCACTTAATTTATATATTTAAACTCCAAACTTAATAATTATTTAATATATTTACATGTATATTTATAATTTTATTTTCTTATCATCCTTTTAATTTTATAATTCTCATATAATTAAAATTTATGATTTTAATAATTATTTAATATATTTACTTATATATTTATAATTTTATTTTCTTATCATTCTTTTAGTTTTATAATTCTCATCTAATTAAAATTTATAATTTTAATAATTATTTAATATATTTACTTATATATTTACAATTTTATCTTTTACCATATCATCTTCTTTCATTTTTTTTATATTTATTTATTATTTATTAATAATATATTATTTATCCCTAAAATTAATGTCAGGTCAACCACTGAATATCCCCAAATGTTTCTTAAGCATGCTCCCGTGTTTATATCTGGAGTTGACAAACTAAAATGGAACACATTTTAAGCCACTCAAACCAAACGAGGCTGATGCAGCTGTACTACCATCATAACGTTCAAAAGTTTTTAGATGTTGTACTGAGTCCTTGAATTAAGGTGAGAACTATGAACATCGCATGTAACCACCGACTGTAACTGTGTTCATTAATGCCACTCAGCGCCAATATAACCTTCTAACAGGAATGGTGCAATTTATAAAAACAATAAATTGTTATTATTATTATTATTATTATTATTATTTCAATAAATTATTTCAATTTATATTGAATTTTCCAATATACAGTTCGCTATACAAAGTACACCACTTAATCCATGGAGGTCAAATATCAAATCTAAGAGATACACATGTGGTGTTCAAATGTTCAATGAAGTCAGAATCATTAGCATTGGTCAGGTATGACACGTATAAGCAACTCCGATGATCAAATTCTAGTTCCCTACCCCCTAATTATAAACAAGAACTTCATTTGCAGCAGTTAGTATGACAAAACATTATCTAATACAACAATATACAACCATACAATATCGGATTATATGAACATGTGTAAAAGTATTTCCAATTACTTAGTTGGGAAATGTTCAAAGAAAGCGATCCCACCATTATGTATATCATAAAATGATCAATACATTGTGTGTTACTCAATTTTACAAGGCACAACACCTCCCATTCCAGAAAACATCTATATCTAGCAACAAATGAGAAACCCATGTTACAATTTGCAAAAACCAACCCAACTTGATTGATTAAATACTCCAAAAAGGCAAACATTCTTATAGCAAGCCTGTACTTCCAAATGGATTGTTCTGTGGGTGAGAAACAGGATTGGGGGGAAATGCCCCAAATCCTGCATCCCCGAAGGGATTTGCTGGGTTCATCAACATATGCTGCTGCTGCTGCTGTGGCTGTGTCTGAGGCTGAAATGGTTGGTAAGGTCCAAAAGGATTTGCTTGCTGTTGCATTGTTGCCATTTGGACAGCAGGTGGGGGAGGGATGCTGCCTGATAAAGCAAATGGATCCTGCACTTCAAATGGATTTGGGGCTGGTGCTCCATATACCGGTTGTTGAGAAGATCTATATGCCGCTTCATCGTATAAGCTATTAAGTGTGAGAGAGTCCAATCCACCAGCCTGACATTCAATGGTCAAAATATGACAAACAGCTCAATTTAGAGATCTCATCATTACTATGGACCAATCTACACTTACTACTACTATCCTATTGGTATCAGAAAAAAGTATAAGTTCACCCATCAAAAGTCTCATGATAAGAGAATGAGAAGGGATCTAAACAATCAAATGACTTGTACCCCCTCAGTTCCTGGATGTAATGCATGTTTAAATTGAAACTGTACATTAACACCAAATGAATCACCAATTTATGTAATATACATTGATGCCACAGTGAACTTCATAGGATAGTGCAATCATATAATTTATTGAACAATGTAATTTTCATCGTTAAACAGTTGAATAATGAAATACTATGAGGTTTATCCATGGTAAATATTACCAGTATAACTATTCAAAATAATTATTATACCAAAGAAATCATATAATACATCGATTTTGGGAGCAAATATTGGCGTGGAACCACTTTTTTTATTGATTTGAAAGTTCCTTTGTGATAACATTTTACCTGACGTCAGCTTATAATCCAACAGTGAATATTTTTTACGTAATTTTCAATTGTATAACTTTTCACAATAATATCAATGAATATTTATATTAACAATCTAGACAGGTCACGTGAAGTCCTACCAATTGTCTCTCATTCGCTGCAGAAATATCAGTACTAGGAGTGCTGACCAAGGCAAGCTCCCATCCAGTTGGATCAAAATCTTTTGTTTGAGCAGTTGAGCTAAAAGCTGAAGCAGTGCCTATGAGCAAAACAGAGTCATATTTCATAGGTAGAGGAAAACAATCCACTAAATGTTGCTAAGCAGAAGGGTTTGAAAAGAAGCCAACAACAAAACTCACCGGTTTCAGTGGGGACTATGGCTAGGGCAAGAGCATTTCTTTCCTCTATGAATGATGCATCAGTTGCAGTGTCATTCAATCCCTGCAAAATGGACAGAATAAAGAAAATAAATCATATAAAAAAAAAAAAAAAAAAAAACTTTTGTGATCCAAATACCTACCAGCAGGTCTCCAGTTTCAAAATTGTTGTGAGATGCAGGTGGTGGAGGAGGTGGAGGTGCAGGTTCAGAATCAGAGACAACAACATTATTATCAACCGGAACTGGTGGCTCCTGTTCTTCAACAGATGGTTTGCTATCTTCAATTGCAAGAACTTCTTCAGGTCTGTAAGTCAACTGAAGCTGTTGATACAACACAAGAAATTAGCAGCTAGAACTAAAATGTAAAAGAATACATGGAAAAGTATACAGTGTTGTCCAAACAATGTTCAGCAAAACCATAACAAACCAATTTACAAAGGACCTATGACAGCTATGCTCTACATAAATAAAATAAATGATGTACTAACCAATGGCTCACTTGGAACTGTAACCACTCGTGGTGCCTCTTTAATGTACTCTTCCATGGTTGTAAGAAAAGATTGTGGAGGCTAAAGAATCAACAATGCAAACAATTGGAAGTTCATATAAAAAAAAAAAAAAAAAAAAAAAAAAAAACAGGAAAAGCTTGTTAAATCAAAGTATGAAAATTGCAGTAAGCGTTGAGACATACCTCTCTTAAGGCAGGAAACTGAAAATTCCTAGCAAGTTCCAATCCTTTACAAACATCATAGAAATCAGATAGACTTGCTGCCTGCAACAATTTGGGTGTTTTAATACAAGCATCACATCATGAAATTAAAATGCAAAAGCAAAGTAGTTAGCTTAAAGAAATACAAGCAGCAAAATATCACCTGTTGACCCGCACGTTTGTAAGCTTCAAGGGCTTTAATAGCCTCGTGTCTGGGCATCTCAAAAAACTACAAAGAAATTATTTTATTTCAGTGTAAAACACATTTTATTTTAAATTTGATACTCATTAAAAAATGATAAGCAATTTTACCTTATCAACAAGATTGATAATGCCATCATTAATGGCACAATAAATCTTAAAGCTCTCTTTCAGTACCTAGAATGAACAAAGAAGCAACATCAATATCAAGTTGGTGATCAATTACATCAGCACCAAATTCACAACTATTTACTGACAAGGAATTATTCAATATTGATGTCAAACTGTCACCATCATGCGGATCTTGACCATAAATATACAAGCAGATATACTTAATAATCATTAAGTTTGGTGGGGCCAAAATCATAAATACTAATGTAAGTTACAAAATTTTGGGAGGGCCATGGTACCCTCCCCAAGAAGATCCATCACTGGTCACCATGTTGTTCCTTTCCTAACCGGGTTTAATATGGAGACAACTGAAATCAGTTCCAACTATCAAGAACCTAATATATATGATAGTCTCAGCCCCAATCAAACTTCAAATTCTAATCCCAATATTCATATTTTATATGTCTTAATCCATATAAATAGAAATTAAACCGCAAGACCATTTGCTCAGAAAAATCTAATATAACATCCTGAAGAGAGTCTCTACATTTTATCTGTAAATTCTACATCCCTCGATACAAAGAGGATCTTTATAAACAGATAAAAATGCATATACCAGAGCCAAAGCATATTGTATCACATAATTGCTAACAGCTGCTCCTTCTGGCTGTAAAATCAAGCACATGATCAGTTTGTTAAATAAGAGAGTACTATTAAAAAAAAAAGAACTACAATATAAATCATTAGAACAAATTGATATAAATTGGTCAAATTAAAAAGTAATAATAAGAAGATAGATAATTTTACCCGACAACCAACAAGACGATACAGCAGCTGCTGCAAAGCAGGCAACTGCTCCAATAGCTCCTCACTATCCAAATCCCTGGTCTTGCTGTACCCCTGCTTGAAAGAACAATTAAACATGAAAACCTTCAAAAACAAACAAAAACATAAAATATCCAATAAATCCAGAACTAACCATTGAGAAGTATTTAACAACGTCAATCAGCAATGCAAGACAATTTAAATAAAATTATAGACAATACCAATAATGTAAATAACAGTATTCTATTGAATTTCTTCCACTCTAATCAATTAATTTCTTTACAAAAAAACTAAAAACCAGAGATATACAGATAGTTAGTTAATCCAAGGTCCCCTGTATATACTGTTTGGAGATTCCTTATCTATGAAACACTAACTCCAACAACGATACAGAAACATGACTAATGTCTAAATCATAAGATTTCACAACACCGCATGTATACATACATACATACACACACACAACATACATATATATATATATATATATATGATTATTTATTTACAATAAAACATAAATTGACTATTTCAATTACTTTATAGTAGGATGTCAAAGAGGTGCCTGCCCGAAAATTGGTGTCAGTTTGAAGTCTTAGCCCATGGCCAAGCTATGCAAAGATGAGAAAAATATTTTAAATACGGGTTAAATATGTCTTTGATCCATGTATTTTTTGTGAAATTTGGTTTTGGTCCCTGTTAAGGTTCCAACATAAAACCAATTGGCAATATGTGGAGTAGCCTAATATTATTTAAACCATACCAAATGACATGAGGTAGGCGATGTGGGACTTTCAACACACCCCCTCCAACGAAGCCTGTCGGACCAGGCAAATGGTACTTTTAACCCAACTAAAGGGTAACTTTTGGCCCATGACAATAACCGGAAAAATGTTAGGCTTTGGCTCTAATACCATGTTAAGGTTCCAACATAAAACCAATTGGCAATATGTGGAGTAGCCTAACATGTATTTAAACCATACCAAATGACATGAGGTAGGCGATGTGGGACTTTCAACCGTCCCCATACATGAATATATGAATTTATTCTTTCTATCAAATTTATAACAGTACAAAATAAATAAAAAAATAAACTCTTACTAAATGTTAAACTTAAATATAAATATGACTAAAATCACATATTTTATGAATTTAGTCACTCTATTTGAAAGTATAAGGACTAAAGATAAGTTTAAGAGAAACTACAACAACCAAAAACATATTTATCCCTTTCAATTCAGACACGTGTCAGAAGCATGTCACAGCTGTGTGCCAATGTCCGAGAAGTGTTGGAGATAGAACACACCATTCATTTGCCATGTCATTAGGTCCTTAATATCGGGTGAACCTGGGTGCAATGTACAGTTGCTCCCTTATGACATGGAAGTAACAGATTAAAATCCTGGAAATAGCCCTTCTGCGTGCAGGGATGAGGCTGCATATATCTACCCTCCTCAACTGCTGGTCTGCCATGCCATTCCCTCATGAGGACCATGGCATATTTTTATTTAACAACAATGATCACCAAGACAGGAGGAGGAATCCTATTAAATTTTTTTGGTTTACAAATGATAAGTGCATGAAGGGATCAAGAATATATTTAGAATTTTAATTGTAATTTTTTTATTTTAATTTTTGTAATTTCTTGTATTGGGCCTTGTATATGTTTCTATAATCTTGTAATTAGAGACATTTTAAACATTAGTTTCTATTAGGAATTAAATGGCTTATTGGATGGACCTAATTAGGGATGGGCCTTGAGTCGTAGGTCCAAAATATAAAAGACTCTTCGTAAACTATTTTCCTCATAATTCAGAATTTTTGAAGCTTAGGCTTTGTGCGAGAAATTCTCTTAGTTTTTGTGAAGAACTTTTAATTCTTATCTTGTAATTTTCAATTCAAATCTTCATCAATTTATCAATATAGATTGTGGCATCTTCTTTATTTCTTATCTCTTTCCGTATTTTCTGTTTTCTTTTTGTTCTTGTTCAATAGGTAGAATTTGTCCAAAAACTACCCTAAAGGTTAATCCGAGGTTAGATCCTCATAAGAGGGATCCAAATCCAAATTAATTTTTTTTAATTGGGCCTATGCTTTCAAAACTAAATAATTGGATTGGATTTCTAAAGATTGTCTCACCACACAATGCTCTAAATCTAATAGTAGGCAGTCTTCAACCCAACTAGAAAGTTTCATACCATCAAAACCCATACAAACTTTTAAAACAGAAGGACTAAATTGAAAATCCTCAGATGGCATAGGAACCTACAATTTAATTGGATTTGAAAAAACATTTCAATAGAATTGAAGGATCAAGTGCCATAGTCATGTCATGCCAGACCTAACTTTTCTTTGGATGACAATAAGAAGCTAGTCTTATACGACTAGGATGGGTAGCCTATTTTAGATAAAAGAAAAAAGTCAAAAACTATAAGAAGGAAGGGAGAACAAAGACTTAGAATGCAGCATCGCAGTTAACTTTTTTCATATCCAGTATAGCCACTCTTCTAAAGCATCAGCAACCAAAGCACCAAAGAGATGCTAAATTCGCAACTCTTAATGTTTGGGATGAAAATACACCCTAAATACACAAAGCATATGCACATACAAAGAGATACTTCTTCCCAAGGCAAAAGATACCCTAAAATTTTGATAGGAACTCAAAATAGATCATACACATACATAGTTAGGAACACAATGGAAACAAATAAGAGAAAAGAGTAATTTTATTGCTTGACTGAAAAAAGAATAGAACAAGCAGAAAAACCTCTCCTCAATTATTTCCCCTCACAACTGAACCACAGTTTGTTTACCCAACGTTAACAAATCCAAATGTCACACCTTTCTACCCCTACTCCTACAAAAGCTGAATACCTACCGTTCCAAGTTCTGACCTCTAACTAATTAACTAATTGTTCTAACTATTAATACTTAGAAATCTCTAAAGCGTGCAGACACATACACATACACACACAAAGGACTTCTTTCTTTTCAAAACCTTGCAGTTTCTAAACAGTTCAAGGGTAAAAGATAGACCAAATACTAACCAAGAACCCCAAACTGTCACATAATGCAGAATTAGTTAGCTAATGTTTGAACTAGACCAGCAAATGCTACATACTACCAGTTATTCCAAAAGAGTTTAATAGAAGTTTATTGATATTACCTTCTCCTGCCCTTGGGCAGGTTTGGGTAGACGCTCAGCTTCAATATCATACTTCAAAATCCGAAAACATTCAAGTCTTTCTTCCAAAAATAGTGCATAAGTACGTACCCAGGCAGAGCAATCCCAAGCTGCGAGCAGAAAAAATCATACAGGCAAACAATTTGATAGTACAGTTAGAAACCTCTAACTTAATTCCCTATCAAAGCTAAACCACAAAATATAAGATGATAAGGTAAAAAATATATACCAATTGGGCTAGAATCATCCTTAAAATTTGAAAGTTGGAGAATCCGTCCTCTTTGTGAGAAATTCAGAAGTTCTTCTCTAAAAGTAGGATCACCCTCCCTCAATAACCTATGGATGACTATCAGTGTTTTCAATGCCACCTGTGAACAAGTCGCAGGAAGTGAAACATAAGCATACCTACATCTATATCTTCATATACATATAGTCACATTATACAATAATAATGAGAAATTGATAATAAAATACAGATAAAAAAGAAATTAATTTAGACTCTTAAAATTGACATTTCTTAGAACTAGGAACAAATCCTTTATATATAAATCCTCAGACAATCTGACCTGAGGAATATGAGTAAATATTAGATGCTCAGTTGATATATCAATAATGAAAACTTCTTAAGCAAAATAAATAAAACCATGTTGGTATTTAGGACTTCCATTACATTACACGTAAAAGAATTTCCCATGCTATTAACCAATAATTTAAAAAAACGCAATAAAAATTGTCATTTTGTTTGATGGAATTCTATTCTCTCTCCCAAACAACTATAGAAATTAACTACTAACAGGCAAAAACATGTTTTCAACATTTCCATGACTAAAGTTTAATAACAGAAAAAAAAAAAACGAAAAATAAGGTGACATTTACCAAGTTATTAGTGAAAACATCAACTGAAAATTAAATTAAATAAGATAAATAAATAAAAACAAAGCAAATGCTGAGCCTCATATACTGCTTGTTTGATCCTTTAATAACGTGTCAAAAGCAGAGACACTAATAACCTCACGACATTCTTGGCATGCGATAAACTTATAAGAGACACATATCAAACAATTGGATCCACTAACGCATCCTCCGTCAAAACGGATATAATTTCAATCCTTCATTCAAATTCCTTTCAGTTTATGGTGTCATTGTAGGTCACATGCCACAAATCATTATTGAAATTCAGAAATAGCACAAAGAAAACACCAGACCATTAGGGATGGGGGACCCAAACAAGCATTATTTTCATATTCGTATCATATGCAATTTAAACATCATGAATCTGAGTAAGAATTTGACACTGATGAACTACTTCCAATAGGAATAGAAAAACCAAGAAATGCCACAAGCCTAACAACATCAATCCATCAATTAAATAAACAATCCAAGCCCCCAAGAAAGCACATATAAACAAATCACTGAAAACTCAAACAAAATCAAATTGTATATCAATCAAGCGATCACATAAACTATGTTATCATCATCATAAATCCTACCGTCCAATTGCGCGTCTTTGCCAACCGCCGGGAGAGAGCGTGAATACAGTAAGCAACATCAGCCCTAGGTCGAACAGCAGACGTGGCAAGCAGAATCTCTACAACAAAGCCGATAAAAGATTCAACTTCATGAGCATCATCTCTCATACTAAACCCAACAGAAGATCAAATAAATTCGGATCTGAAACCCACAAATCACTCACTTCTAAGGTGCCTCTCTTTGGGGGGACATTCGACGTGGTTCGTGGCTTTGACTATGGCAACGTCCAAATCCTAAAATTGGAAACGAAGCACCCACAGAGGTAAAATTGATGAAAAAAAAAAAAAAAAAACAAAGAAAGATCCTATCTTTGGAAAGAGGGATTACCGCGTAATCGCTATTGACATGGGCAAGACCCACTTTGGTGCTATCCTTGATCGCACCATAGGCTCTTCTCCAAGACTGAAGCGTACCCATTTCTGATCTCTCTGGTTTCTCTCTCTAACGCGTGGTGGGATCGATCAAGAGAGAGAAAGTGACGAACTTCGATCGGAGAAATCGGTAAGACTCAACGCAAGTGAAGAATCAAATTCAATTCCGACAACCTTGGCTTTTTGCGGCCCCCTCCTTCGCTGTGTATCATCGGTTTTTTTTTTTTTTCCTTTTCTTTTCTTTTTATTAACTTTCTTTTCTTCATAATTATATTTTATTTTTTTATTTTATGATGATACAGTAAGGGTCGGTGTCTAACTAATTAATGTAAATAATTGGTAATTAGTTAATGTTTATTTGTAATCAAGGGTATTGAATGTGTCTTGTGCATCATGAAAGTGAATATTGGATAATGAAAAGGGAAAAAAAGTAAACTTGTGGTTGGCCGCAGTCCACAATCTCAACTGAAGTGGCCAGTAAGGAATTGCTGTCTTCAACTCCAAATAATTTTGATTAATCCAACTGTAGATATATAATAGAATTTGCCACTATCTGAATTTAGGTTTTCTTTTTTATATATAAAATTAAAAATTTGTTTTCTTTAGTTTAAATCATTATGATATTTTGGGTTTAACGACGTATGATGTGTCTGAACTCAGTAACGTCATTTTTCAACAATAAACAAAGTTACAGTGTATTCAAAATTAGTTTTGAGTATTTGAAAGTGATAAGTTTTCATAAAAAATAAAATATTTATTTCATTTTTATACTTGATTCAATGAAAATTAATATTTTAAAAATTTAAACTGAAATTCTCAACATTATATAAAAATTTAATTTTCAATGACAATGTTGTAATATAATTTGAATAAACAACTAAAAATATAATAAGCTCAAGTTTTCTAGATAAAAAAAAAAAACGAATAAGAGAAGATTTTAGTAAAAAGAAAACCTCTCAATTTTAGTTTATCTAAAAATTAAGGAAGGTAATTTAGTTTTCTATAATATTATGCATATTCCATATTTATAAAAATCATGATAAAATGTGAATTGGGGCAGTTTTAATGCATATTATGTATATACAAACACACATGTTCATTCATTCATTCATTTTGCAGGAGCTGTAAAGAATCAGAATTACTAACAAGAGACAAATTTTGCAGCTATCAATAAATACAAGGGGAAATTTCTCATGAAAAGATATTCCATAATTTCTAAGAAAAATTAAACATTTATTTAAATATTGTTTACAAAAAATAATTTAAAATTTATTAAATTATTTTTTATTATGATAAAGTATTTCAATTGTTATTTATATAAAAAATTATTTTAGTATTAACATATTTAATAATCTAAAAATATGAGTTGATAAAGGATATTCAATTAATATTGGTCAAAGTTATTTTTTATCCACATCTATAATAATTTCCGGTTAATGTCGATACAAAAAAACGGTCAGGTTTTTTTACTGACGTTTCAATTCATATTGACTGAAAAAAATTCCCTAATTAACGTTTATCAAACATAATCCTAAATAAATTTAGATAAAAGTTTTCTCTTTTAGAAAAATAATATTGATCAACTTAAAAAAATAATAATATTGAAACATAGATAAAAAAAAAAAACAAACCCTATAGATAGCACTCAGAAATTCTTATCGATGTAGCTTGAAAATAATTTATATCACTTGAAAAATAGTTTTAAAATCGTTGATATAATTTTTTTTATTTACATCAATAAAATAAACATCTAAATGTTGGTCGAAAAAACATTGATTAATGTTGATTGATAAATAATACTATCCAACATTAAAAAAAATTATTAAACTTAGATGTCATATGCACTATAGTACATGTTCTATAAAGTTTAATATGATTAAGTTTTATTATATAATAGTGTTTAAGATTTAAGTATTTAAAGGAAAAAGATAGGATAAATATTTTGTTATGTGATGCAATATACAATATTATTTATTTAAAGAAATGAATCAAATTGTCTAATAATTCTAGCTCATATACTAGACAATAAATTGAGAAGTGGATCTAACTCATGTTACATTCAATATATTAATTTAATAGCTATGTCACATAAAAAAAATTTCAATATATTAATTTAATAGCTATGTCACATAAAAAAATTTAGAATATACCTTTATACAGAAGTTAACAAACTCAAAGAAAATAGTAATGATAAAAAAAAGGCAAATTAGAGCGTAAAGCTAATATATTGAGAATCTCATGTTTTAACTAAGGATAATTATTATGTAACTAAACAATTGTACAACTTCACATAGAAATAATTAACCAAAGACTGTTATGTGACTGAAAAATTGTACAATTTCACTTGGAAAGAATGCAACCTCACAATGTATAAATCAAGATATTAGTCATATGATCTAAAGAAAATATTTTACTCTTTCCACCAACTAAAGTTTGGATTACCCAATACTAAGAATACTCAAAGCATTATCAAAATTCTTTTCTAAGTTTCTTAAGAAACTCGACACTAGCTCTTTCAAGAAAGGTTTCTTATTCAGGAGAGTAGGAGAAACAACTCTCAAAGAGACTTAAAGGCACATAACCAAAGTACAAGCAATAAATGCAAATTTTACACATTAAGTTTGATTTCATTCAAATGTGCTCATAAAGCTACACAAGATGTCATATATATAGTTGTTCTCCTCTCATTCACTTACTCACCTAAAGAATGTGAGACTAAATTTCTTCTACAAACTATGCATTGAATTTGAGCTTGTTCCTAGCATCAAGTCCCACCTTGCCCTCTTTTAATTACATTTAAGTGTTTATATACCAAAATACTCTCAAATATTGCAACCAAGAGTTGAAGTTTGGACCTCCTTGAGTGTTTGTAGTGCTTGACTAAATTTAAGAAGGAAAAATGATATATTTTTTTTGTGGTAGCTAAGATTTGATCTTTGTCCTCTCTTTTTCAAGTGTCGCATTTTTAAGTCTTATCTCATCTAAATTTGGCTTACTTCAAGTGTTTATATATGAAACCTCTCTAAAGTTGCAACCAAGTGTTAAACCTTGACTCTTCAAATGTGAGGAGTACTTTTAGCCTTCATATGGCTTGCCCAAGGTGTGGCGTGGTCCATGATGACTAACCCAAGATGAGTGTGTATCCTTTTTAGTCCAAATTTAACAAGAAAAGAAAACTTAAAACCTATACAATTTTCACAAAAATTTTACAAAGCTAATAAAAATAAAAAGGGAGTCTAAGTAGTGCAAGCTCTAGTGAATGAGAGTCATCTCTTCGGCCTCTTCCTTTTCTATCCCTTTGGTCTTAGGCCTTAGTTGAGACCCAGTGTGTTATGATCTAGATGGTCCTCCATCATGATCTCTACATGCTCAAAAGCCTATATGAAATATTAATAAAATACTAGATTATCTATCTATGGGACAAATTTGTTAAAAGAATTCATAAATTGTAAATCCTTCTTTTGTGAAGTTAGAAATTTCATCTAAAGAATTCTATTGTAAATTCTCTTTATAATGAAATTTCAATGAGGAGATTGAAGCTTAAACGATCAAGTTAGATTAGACAAGTTAACTTAGATGAGTTGGTTACCCATTAGACCAACCAAGCTAATGAGCCATCAGATAGTCTTCCAAGGTGAATCATTAGATGACTGTCATTAAACGAGTTCAACAAACACGCTCATCAAACACACTACTAATATACATGTTTGTTAGAAAGTTATTATAGCCAATTGGTGTTATAAATAGTCAAATGAGTTACTCGAGTCAACTGATGCTACTAAGGGTCACATGAGCTATTGAAGATCATATGAGATATTGTAGTCAACTATAACTGCTACTAAGGGTCACATGAGCTATTGAGATCAAACGTGATACTGGAGTCAACTACAATTATTGGAGTTCAAGGAGTTGTTGTTAAGGTTCAATTGCTACTTAAAGTCAAACATGCTTTTTAAATAAGTCATTCCATGTTAGCTACTACTGAAGGATGAATAGTATAATTCTTGTACTTAATTTTCATTTACACTACTAGTTGGACATTATCTTTATCATATTTTCTATTGTTACTTTTGGCTAATCCAAATGATCAGTGAAATTTTGTCATCTAGTTTTAGTGAAAATGTTTATGAGCTTTAATATTTTAATTCATCCCGTTTTGAATTATATTGTTTTATTTTTCCAACATATAAAAGTTATTTCCTATACTTCTTTCAAACTTTTGTTTGTAGTTAGGAATGACAATTTAATAATGCTTATGAAATTGAAAGATACTTAGTATTAAATAATACTTGAAATTTTTTATCTCAAGAGGATTTGTCAACAGTAGGATTGAGTGCTCAGAAAAGTCAAAAGTGGTAGTGAATAATACTTATTTTTAATCTTTTGATTAGAGTGAAACTCTTTTAAGAGTTTCTTGAAAGAGAACTAAAAGTAATTTCAATTAAAATTAATCAATATGAAGCAATTGTTTATATATCTTTTCTATTACACTTTATATTGACATTTTTATACAAATATTCTACACAAGCTTAGGGGTGTTCACATACTAGTTAGGTTTGGTTTTCCATTAAATAATTATTAAACTAAATGTAGAAACAAATGTGGCTCATTTTTGTTTTAATGATGGAGGAGCATTTGTGAAATAACACAGTAGGCCTTTGACAAGGTATATGGCTAGAAAGATAAAAAAAAAAAAAGAAACCTCAAAGTAGACTCTCATACTTTGAACTATAGACTACTAGGTGTTTAGGTGTATGTTTTTCTTATATTTTGGTAGAGACACATGTGGATTAGATTTGAGCATCAACGGGCCTTGTTTAAATGACTAACCATGGAGGAACCCTAGAGCAATGATTTGGAGGTCTTCAAAATTAGGCTTATTTTGGGTAATGATTTGGAGGTCTTCAAGCGTCCACCTTATGTTTCTTAGTCCCACATTTTCTATGTGAGTAGGTGCAAGGGGTTAGGCATCTATAAATAAGATCTCTTGTCTTTTGTAACACTTATCTTTTGATTGAATGAGAAATGATTTGCTTATATATTTGTCCTTTTCTTGTCTAAGTTCATATATAAAAGTTATTTTCTCTTAGTTCTTTACTAAGAATCTTATTTGAGAAAGGAACAATTTGAGTTTCTTTTTAAAAATTTAGAAAGTTTAATTTTCAATTATCTGTTACTTGGAGGAGAAAAGGCTTCATTATGTAGTTTTATAAAAAAAATATAAACCAAACCAATGTGGATTGATTTGATTGGTTTCAAGAAATTTTACAAAATAATGATAAAACATTTTATTATAATTTTTTAAACATTTTATAATGAAAATTGTCTAATATAAAGACATTTGAAAATGTCTGCTGCATATTTTTTTATATTCATATTTTAATTTCTCTCATATTTATAAATAAATTATAGATTTTTATATTTAAAAATTACAATACAAAGTTATAATCGTGTTTTTATCGATATAAATATATTTTAAATAAATATAATCAAAATACATCAACTTATTAGTTGATAATTAACTCTAAACATATAATAGCATACTTAACTACTATACATGGTTTGGTTTTGCTTAGTTCAATTATTGGTTTTCAATTTGAAATCCAAACCAAACCGTGTGATTAAAAAATAAGTAGATCCAAAATATCTAATGAAAATTTGATTTTCATTGATTTTCAATTTTTTAATCAATTGGATCAATTTGATTTTAAACACTCCCTACAAAAATATCTTTCTAACAATGTTTATATGATGATAGTCATTCATCATCAAATTGTATATTCTTTTATCTATTTTTCATCTACTATGCGAAAAACTTTATAAGTTTTATTTAATCATTCTTTCAAATTTAACCTGTCATTTAAAAAATAATTTTGGTCTGCATTGATTAAGAAGAAAAATTTATTAACATAAACTAAAATAACCTTAATTAATGTTAAGAAAAAGTATTTTGACATCAATAAAAAATATTGTTGATGTGGACAAAAAAATTTGACTAATTTTGGTTGAGAAATAATATTAACTTATATCAACTAAAAAATAATATTGATGATTTTAGTTGGATACAAATCACAATTGACTTCAACATCAATATAAAAAAAATGATGTTAGGTTGAGAATGCCCCTACTTCAACCAAGTTAACAACATTCCATTCTCATTCGAGTCAATTATGTCTAAATCAAAGTCAAACTAATGACCTGCTAATCAAGCATATGAGAGAGTGTAAGAAGAGAAAATATATAGATGTGAAAGGGAAAGAGTATCAAAATTTCCAAATTCTATAGAATAAGAAAAAAACAAGAAAGGGATTGATGGAAATATTCTTCCTCTTTCCACGAACTATAGTTCCGAAAATGTTGTAGGATGAGCACCTAAGAATCAACCAAAATTCTTTCTCAAGTTTCAAGAGAAACTTGACATGAGCTCCTCCAAGAAAGGTTTATTGTTAGGAGAATAGGAGAAAGAAATCTTCAAAGACAATTAAAGATAAGCTAATTTGGGATACAAGTAAAATATCTAAGTTTCACACACTAGTTTTGACTTTAATCAAATGTGTTGAAAAAACTACACAAGGGGTCATATATAAAGTTGTTCCCCTCTCATTCAATTACTCACCTAGGACAGATGTGGGACTAATTTGGCCTTGTACAAGTGATGGCTGAATTTTTCAATTACAAAGGTGATTAAGTCCCACATTTGTTTCATCTACATGATTTTAAGAGTTTATATATGCCCATGCTCCCTATAGTTGTAACCAAGACTTGAAACTTGGATCTTCTAGCTTGGAATTGACTTTCTTTGGTAAAAAATGTGAAGGAAAATGATGCAATCATTTTCTTCCATCCCAATATTCTTCCTTGCTCCTCTCCTTAAGATTCTGCCTCCTTCAATTCCCACATTGTTATGGTGAAGGCATTTTCCAATGTTTATATACCAAGGAGTTTCCATAATGTACAATCAAGTGAGGTTCCTCTCTATCTAGCCTCTAGACCTTGGTTAAGGCCATGTGTGTTATGGTATAAATGATTGATAAAGTTAATCTTGTTGCCTAGATTTCATCAAACAATTTGCAATTAAAGTAATGCAATACTAAGGCTTGTCTTAGGTCGAATCCTGAAGAGAATTGCTTGGTTTTGTTTCAAATCTTTTTTTTTTTCAATGTCAAAAGCTAGGAAACATAGGGGTTTTTGTAATTTTAGGAAGCAGAAAAGTGAATTGAAAACAATAAATCTATATTATGAAAATCATTAAATGAAAGCATGTAAATGAAAGCAATAAATCTAAACTATGAAAGCATTTAAAGAAAGCATTTAAATGAAAGCAATAAAGAAAGCTTGTATATCTAATCTATGAAATCTATAGATTAAAAACAGTGAAGAAGTTGTGTTGATTCTCCAATCATAAACTTGTTTTTATGATTATCATTGATTTTTATGGACTTGTCTTGCAATCACAATAACAAATTAACAATAGTTCCAATCACTTAAACCTACCTAAAAGTTGAATTGTGATATAAAAGAGACATTCAATCAAATAACCTCAATTACATTGATTGTAATGGATTATAATTGGTTAGAATCATTAAGAATCAAATCTAAACCTTAGAAAAAAAGTTTTAATCGGTGAATCAACAACAAAAACGAATTAGAACATGATTAACAATTGAAACACAAAGAACAATATGAAAAATAGTAAAGAATTGAGTGGAAGAAGATGAAAAAAAAAAAGTAAAAATGAAGAATTAAGAGAAAAGAACATAGATGTGACCAAGAAGAACTTGAATTGATAAACTTTATTGCATTATTCGTACAAGAACTCCATGAATAGATTTGGAAGCTAAGCATCACTAAAAACTAGAGCGACTTGTAAAAAATGAACTTGTAACTAAAACTTAACTTTTGTTTTACACCTTCAAAGGTCTATTTATACAACAAAAAAGGTATATGAAGCGTTCAATGCTCATTCAAGACCCATAAATACAAAGTAGAACTTAATACAACATTCTAAAAAAACTGATATTTGACACATCCGCTCAATTGTTTCCCATTCACTCAGCGAATTTGTAGTTAAATTAGTTACATAAGATTTTGATGCAATTCGCTCAACAGATTGCTGATTTTTTGGTGAAGAGCTCTCTGGACCAATTCTACTGATCGGATTCAGAAGCGCTTAGTAGATTTACACTGTTTTAGTTTTTATATAATCTCTTTAATTTATCATTCCTGCAAAAGAAAATAAATAATTGGTAAAAATATACAATTTAAGCAATCATTTATATTCAGATATTTTTTTTTACAAAACTATATTAATTATTAATAATTAATTAAGAAAATATACTAAATATATAAATATTATATTAATAAAATCATTGATAAAATATGTTCATCAATGATCATTTGGGTCTTTAGTTGAGCCTTAATGTATTAGGCCTAGATGATTCTTTAGGCCTTAGATGAGACTTAATGTGTTATGGCCTACATGGTCCTCCATTAGATCCTCCCTCTTGAGAAGGATCTGACCTTATATCCAATTCTTCCCTGCAAAAGAATACAATTCATTAATAGTGGGAGACCTAATATAGGTATAACACAAGGATTAAGACTCTCCTTGATTTCAACCCTTCTTCAATAATCACTTACTTGATTTACTATCCAAGGGATCCATTCAATGTTCTATTTTCTAAAAGTGGAAGTCCATAAGGTAATTCTTTAGGAAGTAGAGCATTAATATCTTCAAACTTTGTTATACCCCATGTAGTAGAGAATTAAGTTTGTGACTTGTGATAGCAAGTGTAAAGGTTGTTCAAACTTGATAGGAGAAATTTATTTTGAAAATTTTTTGTTTGAACAACTCCTTTGGAGGGGGACACAAAACCTCCCAAACC